ATCTGTAGAGCGTTATATTTAGGCACGACATTTTAGAGTTAGGTTAACCTATGTGGACTGTTTAAAATAAACTTGCTAAAGACAATTAAGGTAATTGAACAAAAAGCATTCAGTTGGACCAACAAAAAAGCTTTGGAGTGTTTCTTGCATTTTTCACGTAAAAGCATGTCTGTGTAAAATAGTTAAGGTTCATCAGTTTCAACTCAACTGATGATTAGATATTATTATAATGTTCATATTGAAAGTACTATATGAAAATACAATGGCATAGTAGCATGAAAAAAGTTTAACATTCAAACAGTGGTGTAATATATTTACAGCTGAAAATGAATATTATTCTGAACTACGTCACTTTAGCTATTTTTCTTAAACTATTTCAAGATATTTTAAGAAAACATTGTTGGTCTTCTGTGGCTTGTTCATTAGCAAGCATTAGTACATATTTGCTAATCCTATTAAAAAAGACAGAACTACCTCATTGGTATACTTACAGCTTATCATGAAGGAGTTCTCCCAACTTCAGTTCTACAAAGGAAAAGAACAGGATAAATAATTATCATCATGTTCCTAAAATTCCAAACTGGCTTATGTTAGAAGAGCACATAACACTGAAGGAAGGTCAGGTATTTCTACTCCATTCCTATTTTCTTTTTTGTAAAGCATTTTCTTTTGCCTTTTCTTTACCTTCATAAATTTTTTTTTGTCTGCTCCATTATTTCAAAAGTTGAAATTTTAAATTACCAAATATTAACACTTGAATAGTCTAGAACACAGGATGACAGTTTTCGGATGCTGTGCAGGCATTTACTTTTTGATTTGTTTTGCTTTTCTCTGAGTAAGATGTTTACTGAAAGTTTGCTTTTCCTAATTGTTTTCACAGAGCCTTTAGACATACTTCACTGTAGTACAAACCTTTAATCGTTAAAAAAAGCAAATCCTTCAGTAGTACTGGAAACCGTGTTTACTGAATATTTATTGTATCTGGTAGCCTGCATTATTAAATCTATTTTTCTCAAACATCACTGTAAAAATCATAAAAAAATAAAGTGACTGCCAGAATAAACTAATAATTAATAACAATATTAGTTAGTAAAGGCATGGTTTAAAAAAAAATAACTGGTTTGTAAAAGACTTGGATGCATGTCACATCCTTTGAAGCTCTGGTTTGCTTCAAAAATGATGGATGACCAATTAAATGAACAAAGCACTAGGTCCTACAGGTACAAAAAAGTGATAAAAAGTAAATTCCTGATTCTGCATGGATGAATGGGGTTTAGAATAAGAGAAGGGGTGAAAATTTTGAAAAGAATACAGTGTCAAAAGGGAAAGGCATGAAAAAAATTAGAACTTGACTAAAGACAAGATATTTACAAAATCTGGAAGAGGAAGTAACATCTCTACTCAGGCCTCCAAAGAATTCAAACATTCTCAAAATGCAAACAGAAAAACTCACCTCTACAAGCCTCTTCAAAATCCTGGGTGATATCTATCCAGCTTGTATTACCCTTTTCCATCTTGTCGGGTATCCCGAGTTCCCATCCTGAATCATCATCCTCTGCCGAAGCCTTCATAACCATGATACTGCACCTTTAAATTTGTATCTGAGACAATGCGCATTATCAACATGTTAATAAAAAAGTCTTCATTGGAATAAATGCAGTTTTTTTTTAATTTTATCATTCAGAGGAGAAATGCAAATAAACAATTTTGGTTCCAGTTATAGAGCTATTGTTACATACAAACATGCCAAAAAAACTTGCTCCTAAAAATTGTTGGGGGAAAAAAACCCCAACCTTTTTCTTATTCACAGTTTTCCTTGAACTAGCTTATAAGCTTTAAAACATGTAAAGTAAGGACAGGAAAACTTTAGAAATAGTAAGTTGTTAGAAAATATTTACAGATAATGCAGAAATTAAAAAAAACTCAGAAATTCAGTTTATAGGAGATACAGTGAAACTTGACTTGGTGTTTTACTCTACCAGAAATACATATTTCCTTCCATTGCTGTGTGATCGGCACTAAAAACTGAGAAATGTAAAACTGATCACACAAGTTTTTTATGCAAATAAAACGTACTAAAACTAATTTGTGAAAATGAATGTATTGCCCCTGAATTCTTGAGCTAAAAGCAGTATCTAGATTACCACAGCAATATCAGCAATTTCAGCCTGGAAGAGAACATTTAAGATGAGCTGAGTAATCATTTAAACTGATTTTGTGCTTTCACAACCTCATGACAGGTTGAGTGGTCCTTAAGGAATTTTGCATTTTGTTACTTAACCTCAGTTTGAGATACAAGCAACACCAACTCTCATCATGCTTTCTTGAAGATCTATCAATGACTCCTGAGAGATTTAAAAGAGCTCAAACAGAGAAAACACTAAAGCTTTGAACAAAGGCCTGCACTAGACTTTTCACACCAAAGCCAAAAGACTGTGGACAACTCCTCTGGGAGACCTTATCCGGAAGGCCCATCCAGAGGGAACATCCAGTGCCCCCTCCACTGGTGTCAACACTTCACTGATTCTCGGTAACCGCATAAAATTAATGTCCCGAGGGGCTGCGATGCGGAAATACAGAGAGATATTTAAAATAGTTAAAAAGACAAGGGAGGAGCGGGGCATGTTCACGTCTTGTTCTGCTAAAGACAGAAGCGGCCGAGGAAGCCCCGCCGGGCCCAGGCGCCCCCTCCCCCCCGCCCTCTGTCCCACCAACGGTCGCCGCGTGCCGCTTAACGGACGGCGGCGGGTGGGCACCTCCTCTCCTCGCCCCGCGGGGCACCGGGCGGCCTCTGACAGGCCGGGCGCAGCCCCTACCCCCGCCCCGCCATGGGCCCTCTCCCTCCCCACCTCCCTCGGCGGGGCTGGGAAAGGTGGGAATTACGAGGAGCGGCCGCTGCTTCCGTCCCGTCCCACCATTCCGCCGCCCCTCACCAGCCTCACTGTAGTAGCCGCCGCCGCCGCCGCCGCCGCCGCCGCCGCCGCGCACGCGCCGAACCACCAGCATAGGCGCCCAGCCCCGCCCGCAGGTCAAGCGCCGGCGCGCACGCGCAGTTGCCCTCTCACCCCGAGCGTGCGCATGCGTGCGCCTCGCACGCCGCTCCGCCGCGGGGAGGCGAGGCGGGAGATGCTGCGTATCGCGAGAGTTGGCCCCTCGCGAGACAGGCGGGTAACGGTGCCCCGCGGCCGTTAGGCGCGGCCGTTATCCCCGCGGCCGGAGCTGCGGCCGCCGCCCCAGCCGCGTCTGGCCCCGAGTCCAGCCCGAGTCTGAGGGCGTCCGTGCCGGCGAGGATGTCCTGAGAGCCTCCAGTGCCCGAGGACATGCTGGCTCCGAGCAGGGAAGAGACGACCGAGGAGGAGTGTGATGCGCTCCGACATGTGAAGGCTCCTTTGAAGAGGGCGGTAGGAATCCGCTGCTCTCACTGTATCCCCGGCGAGGTTACAAAGCAACTATAGGCTAGTGGTTACAAGGTTGTGTTTTGCTTTTGGCTAGTAGAGCCCCTGGAAGATGTATAATGCTACAGAACCTCCCTCTTTGAGGATTTTTTTTTATGGTAGCATGGGTGAACTGTTGTTGATGCACGCTTTTCCTCTGGTTGGTCTCTGGGTGGGATCTCAGGCGGTATATATCAGTTGTGTGTTTCTGTGATCCATTTGCCCGCAGCTCCTTCTGTGGTTGTTTGCACCCTGGCATGTGTTGATCTTGTGAGGATGTAGTGGAATCTTTGGGTGTTGCACAGAGTTGACTGGTAAGCGGTGTGTGCAGAGACGTTGGTCACCTGACTTGATTTGCCAAAATGAAGGCAGACTTGAGGCAGCTTTTTCTGTGTATAGTATTTCCACATATAACTTTCAATTTCTTCATTTTTATGAGACATAACTAACCCAGTTTACATAACTATGTTTCTCTCTGGAGTTCACTCAGATATTTTGATGATGCAGTCATTTTTCACAGTGAGAAAACTAGCTGACTGTTTTAAAAAGATGTCATAGGGATCCATACTATTAAAGCCCCTTCCCTGAAATCTTCAATGTTCTTTCAGAACACATGCATTGAATATTTTCAGTGTTTCTGACAAATATCACCAGTTTAAAAGTCTACTGCTAGTGTGCTATGCTATGGTAGCCAAGTAAACTGGCTTGAGTAGTATTTGCCTCAAGAATTATGACAAAATAGTTAAATTTATATTGTTAACACTAACTTCATCTATCACTTTCTGTCTAAGAAAAACGTGTTCCAAGTGCAGAGTTTTTGTTCACAACTAACAAGAGAAAGATTTGTGGGAGCCCTGATTAAACCAGTGAGATTGTCACCTAACTTACGCAAAAAGAAAAAAAAATTAAGTCTTTAGTTGAGGAGCTGTTGATATGCTGATGGTTCACAGCTATGCTTTAGTTATACTGACTTCCTAGCAAGCTATACAACTGTACGTTATATAAATCTAATGATCTCAAGGTCATAGCTATAGAGGATGTCATTTCCTCTGATGCAGAACACAATGGAGGCTAGACCATAGCTCTGCTTTCTAGAAACCAAGCTGAATTTCTGGGGAATGCAAAGCTCACACAGAAGTCTGTAATGCTGTAGCTACTAAGTTAATAGAATAATTAAGTATTAAAAAATTTTGAAAAGATAATGTGTTTGAAATTTGTCACAAATTCTTCTTTTGGGAAATAAGCTTGTATTTCTGTGCAGGTGAATTGTAACTTAAGCTATGAGCTGGCTTTATCAGTTGTAGTCTCTCTTGGCAGCAATACCTGTGTCAAAATTGAATACCAGATTTGTCACCGAACTGTGAAATAACTTCTGCAGTTTAAAAAGTTTCCATTTGTTCTCTGTAGGGACTTCATGGTTGTTTTGTTTTAAGAACATGAAAGCACTTGTTTCATCTTGTGTGATACGAGAAAATGCATTGACAGCATTGTGAAGTATTGATCTGATTCTGATATTAGTGCTATTCACACATAAACTTACAAAGAAATATATCTTTTTTTTTTTTTTTCTTAGGTTCTTCACACATTCATTTTTGTTCCTCTTCCCTGAGATCTCAAGCCTGGCTGGGGTTGGTTGCAAAAGATATTGGTATTTATAATGCTTTGGTATTTCATAGAAAAGCATCTCTTTTTTTTCTTTAGTCAAATAATCCATCTGTTTAGTATCTGTAAGATAATTCTCACTGTTAATAAAAACAGAAGAGCAACTGACGTTAGTTCTGTTAGTGATGATTGTGTCCATAATGCTACGTGCTTCCTTCTTGGTCAAGTGGATATGGGGTAAATGTAAGTGCTATGAGGTGATTACTCCAATTTTTAATTACTGATTAATTTTGTTCAATTAATACAGTAAGAAATGCTTCACTTTATACTTAAGTAGGCTGTTTTGTTTAGGGGAAACTGAGCTGTACTTCAGCTCGTTTAGCTAACTAGACTAATTCAGCGCTAGTCAATCAGCTGTCTGGTATTTTTGCCTTTCCAAAAATAATGGTAATTAATTCTGAAGGTACACATGCATTTTGTATGAGTTAGTGTCTGTCTTTATACTGCAGAACCTCATATTAAAGCATTGTAAGGATATTTAGAAAGCGCAGACTTGTCTTCACTATTCAGCTTAAGAAAAAAAATCCTGTGAAACTATTCACTTTGATCTGCATAAAAGAAGAGGCATCTGCCATCTTTGAAGTGCTGTGTCTGCAAAGTCAGTCAAACTAAATGGGAAAGCATAAGTTACCAGTAAGTCTTTCCTATTTATACCATGTTGTGTTTTCTTCGTGCTATGGAAGCTGTTCTTAAAACATGATCAATTAACAGAAACAATTAGATTTAAGAGATAACTGTTATCTGCTGTAATAGCATGCTTCAAGAATCTTAAGTATTTAAGAGGAAAAGAGTAAGAGTTAAATATTGATCTGTTTATGGAAAATCGGTTGTTTATTATATTTCTGAATAACACAATGAAACCTTATCTGCTCGATGTAATGTCTGAAATCCATTTTGGGAAGCTGAAAGTTATTTTTAAATAACTTTCTCCCAAGAAATATATTTTTGAAGGTCACTCTTTTTTCTCTTTTGTCTTATCAAAGTACTATGTAGATTGTTCAAGAGTTAGCATTACTTTAGATGCCCTTGTCAATGGAAGTAATTGGTGCAGAGAGAGAAGGAAAACAGAGATAAGTCGAAATATGTGAATGCTTTCGTAAACAGAAAGAAGGTGACCTTCAGCTTAGCCCAAGTCTATTTTAATTCTTGCTGTTCTTTAATATGCCTATATTTTGTGGGGGATACCACAGATTAAGAGCTTATAAAAATCAGCTAGAAACCTGCCCCGGTTTTATGTTCACAATACTTAGCTACCAGCTTTGTAGTAATAGTCTTTTAAATTCTAGTGCCCCAAAATGACTTAAAATGGTTGCGATATGATTCAGGATAGAAGGAAGCAGCAGCATAATGCCCTCCGTGCACAAATTGAATGATGTGCATAAAACTTTCCTTTTTTAATAAATGGGAAAATGCAGGTTGGTTGACCAAAACATATTAAGATTCACTCTGCTTACTGTTGTATTAATATCCTGCAGATGTAGATGAATTGTCTTTAGGCATTTTGTGTTAGGCATTTGAAAAAGTCACCCACTTGTTGCACTATGCTTCACAGATTTGTATCATTTGGGGAATTCCTCCCCACCTCTCCAAAACAACAACACCAGCAATCCCCCAGAATATTTGATGAGAATACCTCCAGTATGCAAATTATGCATTCTGAGTTGGTTTATGGAAATATCTGCAAATTTCCACCACTTGTGCTTTCAGGTAGATCAATTGATGGTTTGTTATTTCTTGTGACATTATAAAAGCAAGAATAGCTGAATGAAGCATGGATGTGATGCTCAGCTGGAATGCTTTTGCATACATTAAAATACAGTGCATAGCAGAGCGCAGAAGATTGCAGAAGTGAAAAAGAACAGACTCTGCTGGAAACGTACCAAGTGCTCTAATGGTTAGAGAGCATTGACGTGCCTTGAGATATAGAACCAAAAACGAATTCTTCAGTGTGTATGTAGCGACAAGTGTTGGCTCTCAAACCAGGGAATGGTTATTTTTTGAGTCAAGGGGAGCTGACAGTCATGTGTACTGTCTGGAGCAAATTGGATTTGTTCAGTACGTGGAACTGTAGTACAGGTAAAGCAGTTTTAACTACTCGAAGTTAAGGTTTAATAGGAAACAATGAATAACCAGGTGGTAATTACAAAGGAAACAGAGAGGAAATAGACCATTACAAGGTCTTGATCTTTTGCAGAGTGTTTACTTCAGATGAAATCACCTACTGAGAGAATTATAGTTCTCAGCCTATTCCGGTATTGTGCTTTCAGTCAGCATAGTTTTTTTAGGTGTGATTACAGCTTAGAATTTGTGGGTATGCAGTAGGATTCAAACAGTCTTAAACTTAAGTCCTTTTTGTCCATGTGTCTGTAGCTATCCTGTGAAAATAAAACAATGAGAGAACTTCACTGTTAGTGAGTTTTTAGCTTCTTGTTGGCGGTGTAAGAAGGCTTTCAAGAGAAGGAGAAAAAAAGGAAGGTTTATTCTGAGTGAACTGCTGTAGTTCTCGCAGTGCTTATTCTGATTTGTTTCAGCATCTACACTAGCTGACTAACTAGATATGATTTTAGTCAGTACATATTTCAGTGTCTGCTAGTTAATAACTGTATTAGGGAAAGTGTGGCCTATTCACTATTTCTCTGTCGCAAAGATTGTAATCAAGTCAATGTATTTTATGCTAGAGGTGTTTCTTTTCCTAGAAATCGTTCCACAATTAACTAGTAGCTGGCAGTGGGTGTCATTTTTTAAAAAAGTAAAAGTGGTAAAGTTATTGATCAGTTTGTCAACCATGATAAATTATTACAATCTCACTGAAATTAAATAAAAAGATTATAGGTCTCTTCCTGTTTACATTTAATTACCATTCAGACATTTTAAAGAGCTTCTGCTTGTTCTCCTTTTTGCTTCCACAAGGAATAACCATCTACTCCTAAACTTATTTATGATTATTTTAGTTAAATGCTCCTGTCCTGAAAGTCGTACTGCACTGCATACTGGTCAGTGTTGAATCATGATAAACATACAACTGGAAGTGAGGAGAGCCCTCTCTTTATTAAATTATGCCCCTCTGTCACTCAGTTGTCAATGCTTGTCACTCAACTCATTATGCTTACACCTTGAAAAAAAAATTAGTGTGATTTACTTCAATAAACGTATAAAATGGCATTTTTTGCTTGTGTTGCAGAGCATGTCCTTTGCCTATTCTTGCCCTGTTCTTTCACAGTATTAGTAGATTGATATATATTTGTTTTTTTTTTTTTTTTTGAGTCTTTGGATCATCCTGTGCATGTAGCAGTGTCAGAATTCTCTACAAACACTGAAATATGAGACTTAATCTTGTGTGTAGCCAGCTGTGCTCCATGGGACTATGTTATAGTTCATTAATTTAAGGAAAGAGAGGGACTGGTTCCTTATCAAAATGTTTAATGTCATTAGTATAATTTGTCCTTGCTTTTTTTTATTTTAACAATACAGATCTATGGCTAAGCTAAATGTTTGTAGTAGTTTCATGTATCTGACGTACTTTCCTTGAAATGTTGTGCAATTCTCTGAAATGAAAAAAAAAAACATTTATGTTACCGCATCATCAAATAAATGATTCAGAATTGTATTCTGAGAGATTTTAAGTATATCTTTACAGAGGATTCCACAGATCCTTTCACTCACAGTAATCTGTTTCAAAATAGAAACAAAACTAGGACAAGTTCTTGCAGGCGATCTCATACAAGTAAATTACAGGTAAATTCCGTCAGAATCCGTGACAATTCGTAGGTAAATGAAAATAGCTTAGAAATGTAAATAAGATTTGGCTTGCTTTGGTACACCAGAGTCTAATTTCCTAAGACAAGTGTCTGAACTCATGTTGTTTAGAAATAAATGCTGGATGTGGAATCATTTCACTTGCAAGAAACACGAGGTTTAATAAATAATTGCCCAGGCCTTCAGTTCCCAGAAATAGATGCTTAGCTAAGAGAGAAGGAAAAAAAAAAAAAAAAAAGAGAGTTTGGTGCAGAGCAGTCTGTTGGATGAAAAAGCTGAAATAAAGACTAATTCTTGTTTTGTGTTGGGTTTGCATTTACTTGCATTCTTTGATTACATTCAGTGTGAAAAAGTAATTCATATGATCCGCTTAGTTGGGTTAGGTATGTTATTAATGTTCATTTTTAAGGTGAAATGATACTTTTTTGCCTATATTAAATTAATAGTATCTAATTCTCACTCTTTTTTCTTCAGAAGAGAAGTCTCATTTTTTTGGCTTGTGCCAGCACACATGCAGAGCTGTTTAAAAACATTCTCTTCTGAACTAACATCTTAAGTAAACTTTGACTTCAGCTTTGAAAAAATGTGGTATATTTTTATCTCTATTTTCTTTAATTGCTCTTTACTTGTCAGAGCCTGCTTTAGACTATTTTTGTCTTCAACTGAGTCATATTTTTATTCTGTTCTTCTGCTAATGCCCTGACAATGCTTTAGACTGTTCTGTGTTCAGAGCCATCCTCTGAGGAGGACTCTGCAGTCGTAACCTTCACTGGGTTAGAGGGTTCTCTCTAAGTAAGACTCCAATGTGACGCTGCTAGGGAAAGAGTGAAACTCTTCATACTCTATTGTTGAAATACTGCAGAAAGACTAAATGTACAATAGTGAAATAAGACTGGGTTATATCCGTTAACTGCTGCTGTCTATTGATGTTAATATGGGGGCTATTAAGAAAAGATGAGCAAGTGACATGATAAGGGACTAAATCTGCTAAGCCAGTTTAAACTTGAATGCACTCAACTGAAACTGCAGTTTCCTGATCTAATGAGCAGATTTAATGAGCAGAAATTGGCTGTTCATAGCTAGGTGAAGAGTAAAGGTTAAGTCCCAAAGAGAGGATTGGCCTCTCCACCTTACTTTAACTATACACAAGCAGACCCCAAGTCCCAGCCTCTGCAGTATCTGCTGACTTGCCACTAAAGCTGCTTGTTTTGTGGTTAGAATGTGTAGGGGGGGTGTGTGTGCGTGCACGCATGCGTGCACTTCATAGAATCACAGAATCCTTCCTTCCAACCTTAAGCATTCTATGATTCTCTGATCCTTAAGGTTGGAAGGACCTCTAGAGATCATCCAGTCCAATCCTCCTGCACACGCAGGGTCACCTAGAGCATGTGGCACAGGACTGTGTCCGAGCGGTTCTGAATGTCTCCAGTGACGGAGATTCCACAACCTCTCTTCACAGATAATCTGTACATTGTGAACTCTCACACCAGAATCTCTCCTGAGCTCCGTTATTAGCAAGCAGTAGACTGTTCTCTGCATGATTCAGCTCCTGCCACGCAAAGTGCACTGAGACTTGCTGCAGAGCATCTAGTATGGGAGCCTTAGGGGCAAGGAGTCCTCCTTTCTAGCCTTTTTGTGTGGAAGGAGTTAGAGCGTGTGTGACACAGGATGTCGCCAAGTGGTGAGGCCTATGTATGGGTTCTAAAGGGCGAGATGAGTAACGGTTTTTGGTAGATATGATGGATTTTGGTTTACTGTAGGAAAATTGGCTTTCCTAGAGAACTCCTCCACTATAGCGGAGTTCCCTGAGTGTTTGGGAATCTGACCTTAGATAGAACTAGGCTTTCAACAGAGATATTAATTATAATAATTGATTG